TCACAACATAAATAGTCATGTTTACCTAATGAATAACAGAACAAAATATTTTGGGTTTACTGAACACAAATAGGCCTATTATCTATACGCATAGACTGATTCATTTATTTAAGTAGTCTAATTAAATTAAACACAGACCATAACACAGGTCAAATAACTTTTAACTTTTTATTATTTAAACAGTTTGTATCCAATGCACAACAACAACATTACAGTACCAAGTCTGTATGGCAGACATTGCATTTTAACTTCTTTACTCTATGCATTTTACACTTAACTCTATCTGAACTTATATGAAACTTCCCTGAACCATCTGAGGTCTACGTGAATCACGTGACAACCAAGCATTTTGAACTTCCGTTGTCGCAACTCTCTCTCTCTCTCTATGGCTCTGTTTACCCAGTAAAAAACACTGAGCGCTCAGCGCCAACAATACGCCAATGTAACAACCAACACTTTATGATGATTCCAATGAGTACAGTTATCCAATCCCATCCTCTGTTGAGGCAAACACACTTGAGGTGTTTTTTGTTTTTGTTTTGTTTTTTTGCACATGTAGCCTATAGCTATGTGGTAAAGGAGTTTCCATCATTTCATGCGCATGTCTTATTGTATAAAAAATATCTGCCTCAATTGAGCACATGCGTTTATGTTTATGTGCATCTTAGAGTTTCCATCCAGCATTCTTTTATGTGATCATCCAAAATTCACATAACAGGGGGAGACCGGGGACAGTTGCAACAGGGGATGGTTGCAACATGTAATTTTCCTCCAATCAGAAACAAGCTAGAGTGATGACACTCACATTGCACAACAACTGTTGCAACTGTCCCCGTACAATGCATAAATATTGCTAAAATTAAAAATTATAATATAATTTTTTTTTTAAATGTTTTACATGACAATAGGCTAAATAAAAATGAATTGCCTCACAAATTGTTTCATTCTTCCTATGTCACTAAAAGCCTACTGTATTTTATATCAGTTTGAATATTTGACATCTGCACATAAGGCCTACTCATCTAGACACATCTATAATTGTCATCTAATCAAAGCTGATGAATAAATAACACTGTAATATTATTATAACTTATATTTTTGATAATAATAATTTTGCTAACACTGACATATATTGCAATATATTGTAATTTGTAACATGTTGCAACCATCGCCAAACAATGTTGCAACTGTCCCCGGGCCCGGGCAACATCTGACTCCTTACATTCAAATGCAAATTGTGAAAAATGTAGATTGTGTAATTATCTTTAAATGGTTTAGACTATTAACAGACAGATGTAAGATTATTGTATAAACAATTGGTTTGTCTAATCCAAACCGTCTCAGTGCCAAATGCAAAAAGTGTCTCCCCCACTTTATGTGTAAGTGTAACTTCCCTTCCTTAAGTGAGAAAAATAACGGGCGCCACATCTTTACTGTCGCTTGTTTGCTTCTGATTCTATTCTCTGTTGATGCGTGTAGAAAGCATGTCCGAAACGCGTTCTATGTTTCGTGAGAAAGTTCTCACTTGTATGTACGTGTAAATGTTTGGCCATTTATAATAAAACCTCAGAATTGCATTATTTTGCATTATATTTATGATGACTGAGCGATTCTGACGAGGACACCAAAAGCACTTTATAGTGATATTGACCCAACTCCCTTTGCACACTGTACCGCTATAAATTAGAGACTCATTTATATAATTCAGTGTACTTTTTGACTTCAACTATAAACGCCAGTGAAGAGAACTATATGGATACACTTATTAAACCCAGTTCGGCTCAGTCACACATTCGCTGTTGGTGTTAATTTAACTGTTTCCACTAATATAACAAAGGGAGTTGTTATCCTTACCTGTCCGGAAATGCACTTCAAGATACAAGTGAAAATGCTGGAGCCTTGTGCTGTGCTGATTAAAGGCGGAACAAAGCCAGATGAGTGTCTTAACCTCAGACAAGTGTATTAAATAGACCAAGGTTACAAGGGAGGAGGGGGGAGGGGGAAGCTAAGATAACATTCGTTTATCACTTTATTCTAAGACATCCGAGCCTTTGTGGTCTGTCTATTGGAAACTTACAGACTGTTGACCTCATCTAAACAGCAAGTCCAAAAGTTCACCTAAGTGAATCAGCTACATTTGAGGCATAAAGATTAATAAAAAAAAGCATTAAACATTTAAAATGCCAATAACATCAAAATAATAGTTATGAATCAGAATCAGAATCTGAAAGAGCTTTATTGCCACACACAAGGAATTTTCTTTGGTACTGAAGCTTCCAGTGCACATATACAGATACAAATACAACAAGAAACAGTAATACAAATTATAAAAATAAAATTATTATAAAAAAAATATGAAAGTACTATAAAATATAAAATATAAGGCCACAGTTGGGTTTAGTCAGAATAAACATTTACAGATTATGAAAATATTTACAGTATTTTGAATAGTATGAATAAATAAAAATATAAATCACCTGAGTTTGGAAGATATTGCACTAAACAGTGGGAGTATTGCACTACAGGCATATGCCTTGGGAGGTAAGTTAACTGTTCAGAAGGGAAATGGCCTGTGGGAAGAAACTGTTCCTGTGCCTAGATGTTCTTGTGGCCAGTGATCTGAGTCGCCGTCTTGACGGTAACAGTTCAAACAGGAGGTGTCCAGGGTCTGTGATGTTTTTACCTGCTCTCTTCCTCACTCTGGAAGAGTACTGGTCCTGGAGGGTTGGCAGGTGGGCACCAATGATCCTCTCCGCAGTCCGGACTGTCCGCTGTAGTCTCCTGATGTCTGATTTGGTAGCTGAACCAAACCAGACAGTGATGGATGTGCATAAGACAGACTCAATGATGGCTGAGTAGAACTGAATCAGCAGCTCCTGTGGCAGGTTGAACTTCCTCAGCTGGCGAAGGAAGTACAGTCTCTGCTGGGCCTTTTTCACAATCCAGTCAATGTGATTGTCCCACTTCAGGTCCTGAGAGATGATAGTGCCCAGAAACCTGAATGACTCCACTGCTTCCACAGTGCTGTTCATGATGGTGAGTGGGGGGAGTGCTGGGCTGATGAGAAACACATCAACATGATAATGATTTCTGTATAAGCAAAGGATAAAACATAAGCAAAAAAATAATAATAATTCATCAATGATAAATGTATATTTTATGTTATTTGTAATGTATCACTTGACTTTGACTAGTTTATGGTATGCGCAATAAATTATTAAAAAGAACAGGAAGGAAGGAAGAAACTCCATCACCAGCTCCATCACAGTCTGGTTCTGCAGTTGTCCAGCACGGGACCGCAGGGCTCTGCAACAGGTGGTGAGAACAGCCTTAACCAGCAGTCAGCAGTCATATCACCCTGTAGCCCAAGACTGGTTGCCCACTGAAGCTAAGCAGGGCTGAGCCTGGTTAGTACCTGGATGGGAGACCTTCTGAGAAAACCAGGTTGCTGCTGGAAGAGGTGTTAGTGAGGCCAGCAGGGGGTGCTATCCCTGTGGTCTGTGTGGGTCCTAACGCCCCAGTGTAGTGACGGGGACACTATACTGTCAAAGAGCACCGTCCTTCGGATGAGACGTTAAACCGAGGTCCTGACTCTCTGTGGTCATTAAAAATCCCAGGATGTCTTTCGAAAGAGTAGGGGTGTAACCCCGGCATCCTGGCCAAATTCGCCCAGTGGCCTCTGTCCATCATGGCCTCCTAATCATCCCCATATATATATACACTGATTGGCTTCATCACTCTGTCACCTCTCCACCAGTAAGCTGGTGTGTGGTGGGCGTTCTGGCGCACTATGGCTGCCGTCGCATCATCCAGGTGGATGCTGCACATTGGTGGTGGTTGAGGAGATTCCCCCCTTCCTTGTGAAGCGCTTTGAGTGCCTAGAAAAGCGCTATATAAATGTAATGAATTATTATTATTATTATTAACAACGCTGGAGAAGATCGACCAGATCAGGGTCAACAGGAGGGCCCACAACATCATTAAGGACAGTAGCCACCCCCAGCATAACATATTCACACTTCTACCATCCGGAAGACGCTACAGAAGTGTGAAAGCAAGGACAAGACTGAAAAACAGCTTTTACCCACAGGCCATCAGGCTTGTGAGTGGTACTTACCCACAGCCCCTTCCCCCAATATTGCTAAAATTAAAAATGATAATATAAAATAGTTTTAAACAAATGTTTTACATGACAGTAGGCTAAATAAAAATGAATTGCCTCACAAATTGTTCCATTCTTCCTATGTCACTAAAAGCCTACTGTATTTTATATCAGTTTGAATATTTGACATCTGCACATAAGGCCTACTCATCTAGACACATCTATAATTGTCATCTAATCAAAGCTGATGAATAAATAACACTGTAATATTATTATAACTTACATTTTTGATAATAATCATTTTGCTAACACTGACATATATTGCAAAATATTGTAATTTGTAACATGTTGCAACCATCCCCAAACAATGTTGCAACTGTCCCCGGGCCCGGGCAACATCTGACTCCTTACATTCAAATGCAAATTGTGAAAAATGTAGATTCTGTAATGATCTTTAAATGGTTTAGACTATTAACAGACAGATGTAAGATTATGGTCTAAACAATTGGTTTGTCTAATCCAAACCGTCTCTGAGTAACAGCGCCAAATGCAAAAAGTGTTGCAACTGTCCCCGGTCTCCCCTACCTGTCCAAATGCAACGTCTCATTAAAATGCTGATGTTGGCATCCATTATTTCTTCTAAGTTCTAAGTGCAACAATTTTTTAGTTAGTAGTGCGGCTAAGCAAAGCATTGTTCTCTGGCATGCTTCTTTTTCTTCTGGACAAGATGAAGAATCCACATGAATGAGGAGTTTTAAAATCGTGCGGCTTATTGAGGAGAGGTGTGCTATGACTTTTTAATCGATCGGTCGTACGATGTTTGCTTATCGCTTATAAAAAGTCCCATAACATAGGCACGAATTTTGACAGCTCCGAGCGCGGATTTTGTAGTAGAAACATGTGGGTTACCACATTTGAAGAGGCTGGAAAGCTCTGTAAGAACATACATTTCCCTGAGGGGCAAGAGCTGCTAGAATTGCCCCACAGATAGGCCTACTAGGCTACGGTGAAGGGACTGCCGATGAAACCGGTGCGCACACGTGTTTATTTTCTATGGTAACTTGCATATGATTTTTTTATTGCACAAAGGCTAACTGGATCACAATGTTATAGAGACATGAGGGTGCTCATTTTACTCAAGCAACCAATCAGTGTCTCAGGATGACAGTGAAGCTATCAAGCCATGCCCTAGCAACCATTTAGAGCACCCTAGCAACAAGCTCCATAGACTTCCATTCAAAGAGATCAAAAGGGATACAGAAGTGTCTAAAGTTCACACAGTCCAAATCCGATTATTTGTGTATCTGTTTGGAATCTGATCTAAAATTACCCAGCAAGCAATTTTGCATCTAAAAGACGTCTAAGTCTAATAGCCGTCAAAACACAGCCCAGACGTCTAGGCTAAAACAAGGCTAAATTTGGGCTGTCAGTGAAAATCTAATAGATGTCTAACCAGAGCCCAAGAATAGACTCAATTAGACGGCTATTAACGTCGGAGATCAACGTTGTTTCGATGCCACGAGAAACATAATTTCTACAATGATCCTGTCAGTTTGCTGCCTGGGCCGTGCAGTCTCCCGAGGAGAAACTGAAACAAATGAGATCAGCACAAACAAACTCAGTTAACATCAAAATGTGGAGTTTTTATGTTTATAACATAAGACACAGTTAAGCAACATCACACTACCAAGAGTGAATACCATCACGATTGAAAATGTGACACTAATTACATAAAACAGTTCAATAAACAAATAATATTAATGTAAAACATTTTAGACACAATATTGACTGTGTTGTTCTATTTCAGAAGCGAATATAGTTCCAAACAAAGATCACAGCATTTTGAACTAATCAGTCAAGTCAAAGATTTAAAAAAACATTCATAAACAATTGCCCAATTCAGAGGCTGCATCCTTCACATTCGAAGGCTGATTGCGTCACAGCAGCACAATGAAGCCTGTCCCAATTAAATTAATCTCAGTTTATTGCCTAAAGCCAGGGGCACATTTTATGTATAATATTTATAATAGTCCTTTATGATTGTTGCTTGTCAGACTGTATGAAAATGATGATCGCTGTAAGTCATGTCACACTGTAAGATTTCAGTTGTCAATGATGTCAGACTGTACAGCAGTCAAGATGCGTTAAAAACGAGTAAGAAAACAAGTCCGGAGTTTTACATCATCAACCAATGAATTTCGTCTGAGGTAAAATTTTATTGCAACGGTCATTAATCGGCTGTCGGTGAACATGTCAAACTAACGTTCAAAGACTTCAGATTTTAGCGTAGGATCAGAGGATTCTTTTAGGATTTGCAAAATTTGTCTCAGACGGCCAAATCGTGGCCAAAATTGCACAGTGTGAACCCGGCTTAAAACAAAAGCTACGACTCCTGCATTGATATTGGTAACACTTTATTTTACGGTGTCCTTGTTACATATGCTACATGTACTTACCGTAGTAATAACAATAAATTGTGTATAATTGCATGCAACTTGACCTCAACCAAATCCTAATCCTATCCTATAGCCCTATAGTAAGTACATGAGTTAATTAATATTACTCAGTACTTAAATATATAATTACACTGTAACAATTGCACCTTAAAATAAAGTGTATCTGAGATTTTATTTTAGTAGTGTGGACTCACTCTGAGAGATTTTAAGAACTGTCCGTCTAGACAGAACATACTACTAACACTTTAAATTGTATTAAGTCTCATGAAGTCGTTAAGTCAGAAATGATCTCCATTTGAGAAACTGTTTGTTTGTTCCTCAGGTGTGTTTGGTGCTGAAGACGCAGTGAAGACAGTGTCAGTGATGGAGGGAGATTCTCCCACTCTAAACACTGATGTTACTGAAACACAGAAAGCTGAGCTGATACTGTGGACGTTTGGACCTGACAGCACTCGTATCGCTCAGATCAACAGACTGGTCAATATGGTCTCATTCAACCCGATCTCACGACCAATTCGTACGAATTTGTACGAGTGGCTAATTCATAACAATTCATACGACCTGGCTCGTACGAATTTGTAGGATTTTTGCTAAATCGTACATGTTTTACGAATTCCAAATTCGTATGAATTCATACGAATGACCTACCCCTGACCCCGCCCCTAAACCTACCCATCACGTGGGTTTAGACAAATCGTACGAATCCGTACGAGCCAGGTCGTATGAATTGTTACGAATTAGCCACCTTTTAATCATTCATACAAATTCGTACGAATTGGTCGTGAGATAGCGTTGTCTCATTATACAGTAATGCTCTTGATGGGAGATTCAGAGGCAGGCTGGAGTTAGATGATCAGACTGGAGATCTTACAATCAGAAACATCAAAACTGAACACTCTGGACTTTATGAACTACAGATCTTTGGCGGAAATGTGGTCACAGCCCAAAAATTTAGTATTATTGTTTCTGGTGAGTAGTTAAAATATATGCATTCGGTTTGATTTCATTGCTTTGCAGTCAGCAGCAAAAATGATTAATATTACAGTTTCTTTTATAGTTGGCTAATTGAGATGATGACGTTTTTACGTTCTGCTCAGTTGATAGGGGAAGTAACATTAAGTTAAATCTAACTAACTTTATAGTATATACAGTAACAATATAATAATATAACTATAGTACTCTTTTTGTGAAGAAAAAGTACATACTTTTGAGTGTGTAGCAAAAGAGTAGGCAAGCTTTGGGACATACTACTTCGTCATCTTTAACGGACAGATCTGTCGCGTGCGTCCTGTCACCGTAAACTGCCCTGTCAATCATCTCGTCACAGTTAAAATCCTCCATTCAATCTAATTAAATGTCCTACCGTTTCGGAGAGAAATGTTGTGGCACGTTGATCTGCAGTCGTGGGTCATTAATGCGGAGACTCCTTGTGTTTGCAATTTGAATGTAATGATGCATTTAAAAGTTAATGGCTAAACGTATCTTTACAAAAGTTCACAATGCTGCTGCAGATGCAATATAATGTAGACAACATTGAATAAATTAATTTTCGTCAGGTTAGATACTGATAATTAATCACTCAAACCCCTTTATCTAAACCTCTCTACATAACCGCCGGACTCGCGCGTCCTCCATGTCTGTAGTTTTTTAACACTTTTCACTCGTGTTTGTAGTTCTAATCGAATCCGCGTCCAACGCGCGATGGGTTGTGGGCAATATCAGCCGTTAGAGTGCGCATCGATCTGCACATCGGATTCTGACCGGAAAAAGTAGACCATCCGGGTCTCTGTGGAACACTCATTTCAACATACTACGATTTGGGACGTACTAATTCTATTTTCGAATACTATTTAGGACGGATAGTATGAGAATTGGGACGCAGCCCTGGTCTCACTATTCACAAAGAAATGTATAATAACCAAATCTTACATTATAAGGACTATATTGCTAGCACCAAAACCCACTACTACTCCAGAATAATCATTGCCAATAAAGGAAACTCCAAGTCACTGTTTTCCCTACTTAACAATATCACCCAACCCCAGGACTTTCTTCCCCCCTCACTTGTATACAACCTCCTTCTGCAACTCCATTATGTAATTTTTCACAGAAAAACATCAAAAACATCCACCAGCACCTTGGATCTATCCCTCACCTCAGCATCTCAGCTGACTTTCACCCATTCACACATTCATTCTCTTCCTTCCAGCTCCCCACAATTTCAGAAATCACAGAACTCATCAGGAAATCCAAGCCTTCCACTTGTCAACTTGACCCCTTTCCCACACAACTTGTTAAAGCCTGCCTTCCCTCCCTGGTTCCCCTCATCTCGGCTATCATCCACTCCTCTCTCACCACTGGAACTGTCCCTACATCATTCAAAACTGCTGCCATTACCCCAATTTTGAAATTGGTGCTGATCCCTCCAACAACTTCTGTCCTATATCCAATTTACCATTAATTTCCTAAATCCTTGAAAAAACAATTGCCTCTCAACTCCATTTTCATCTTTCCCACAAAAACCTGTATGAACAGTTCCAGTCCGGTTTCCGTCCACTTCATAGCACTGAAACAGCACTTATCAAAATCACCAACGACCTCCTTGTGGCAGCTGATTCTGGACTCCTTACCATCCTCATCCTCCTCGACCTGAGTGCAGCCTCTGATACCATCTGTCACACCGTCCTCCTCAACAGGTTATCTTCCATCGGCATCACCCACACTCTGTTAGACTGGTTTACATCTTATCTCTCTGGACGCACTCAGTTAATTCAATTTAAGTCTTTTAAATCCTGTCCCTCCGCCGTCACTTCAGGTGTGCCCCAGGGCTCTGTCCTGGGGCCCCTACTTTTCATCATTTATCTCCTTCCCAATATCTTATGCAAATTTAACATTCAATTCCACTGTTATGCTGATGACACCCAGCTCTACCTCTCGACCAAACCCTCGTCCACTAGAAAGTGCACTTTTATAGGCTACATGTTAAACTTCTTCAAACTACTTAATCAAGGTGGCTCTATTTAGATAAATATTTATATAATTGTAATTGATTATTCTCTGTTTGTTCTCTGATGTTTTCCAGCTCGTCTGCCAGTTCCTGTCATCATCAGTGACTCTTCACACTGTTCTTCATCATCATCATCGTGTTCATTGGTGTGTTCAGTGTTGAATGTGTGTGATGCGACTCTCTCCTGGTACGCAGGAATGAGTGTATTGTCCAGCATCAGTGCGTCTGATCTAAGCATCAGTCTCTCTCTACCTCTGGAGGTGGAATATCAGGATAAAAACACCTACAGCTGTGTGCTGAACAATCCCATCAGCAACCAGACCACACATCTGGACATCAACACACTCTGTCACACATGTGCAGGTACCACAGCACTGATTTGTTCTGCTCCACATTATTGATACCTCTCAACTTAATCTCCAGTTCCCAGGTTTCCCATAAATACAACATCAGCATTTTTAGTAATCTGACCCATTTCAGATCTCAGTTATTGGATATACTCACTGTGTTAAATCTCTCTGATCTACTGTTTTACAGTGGACGAGTCGACGATCAAAACAGGAGGTTTATCGTTCAGTCATATAGTGCTGATCTGTGTTTTTGTTGGAGTAATTGTCGTAGCCGTGGCTGCCGTTGGGTTATTCACCATCCACAGGAAATATAGAAATACGAATCAAATGAGTAAGTATGATCTACAGTTATATAATAGAAAATGTGAGATTTATTGTGAAAAAAGAGTATATATCTAGTAAGGTTAAGTCATGGGCGATTTCAAAACACTGAGTGATTCATGAAGCTTCGAAACCTTTACGAATCTTTTGTTTCTTTTGAATCAATGGATTGGAACGTGTATCAAACTGTCAAAGTCACGTGATTGCAGTAAACGAGGCTTCGTTACATCATAACTTTTTCAATATGTTTTGAAATTTCAATGATTCACCACTGTGAGGCGTTGATCTCTGTGAAATCATTCAGATTCAGTGATATCGCTCCCAAGTGTGTGAACCATTGAACAAGTGTCTATGGTTTTTACCCGATCTCTGATCAGTTTTATACATGTTTGGATGTTTTAATGGGACATTTGTATTATTAAAGGAATAATAGTAGTTAATAGTCTCTTATTAGCCTGTTTAGCTGAACCATCCATGGAACAAACAAAACAACCCATAAAAATTGATAAAATAACACGTATTATACGGACACTTAATATTGATTGGTATTTGAGTTAATTGTTAGTTAATTGTATTTGATGGATTATTTTTTTCAATAAAACATTTGCAATGGGTTTGTAAAAAGCTGGTTTTATGCTCGTTTAGCCTGAGTTTTTGTTGCATTTCCACTGTTCAGACCAGCAGGGGTCGCCAGCGTGTGGTGTTTTGAACTATGAATCATTTCGCAAAGCAATTGGATAAATTGATTCGAAGCTTTGAAAAGCTTTGTTTCTCCCATCACTAGTTCAGTCATGAAACTCTATAGGGCGCAGGCTTTACATTCTACAATGTTTAATCTCTATCTCCATTCCCATTTGTTTAGCAGACGGGGTCGTTCCTGAGAAAGTTGAACTGAAGACCGTGTCAGTGACGGTGGGAGACTCCATCACTCTAAACACTGGCATCACTAAAATACAACACTGTGATGTGTTACAGTGGAGGTTTGCTAAATCAGGCACAGATCACACAAATCCATTTGATGTCATCACCAGACTAAATGAACTGAACAATAGCGGTTGTCACGATCATGATGACCGCCTGATCCAAGTTCATGATGACCGAGTTCACCTGGATCGAAAAACTGGATATCTCACTATCAATGACATCAGACTTACAGACTTTGGAGTTTATAAACTAAATATCATCAGGAATGGGAGAGATATGATCTCCAAGACATTTCTTGTCCACGGTGAGAAGCTCAAATCTGTCAGTGTAATAAAGTTAGAACAAATAATACATTTTACTGGATTGATTGGATAAATGTGGCCCTCTTTGAGTATTTGTAATTGTAACATCAGCACTTTTTGACACTATCCTACAGATTCCTCAGAAAGAGAAGATGCGTCAGAGGAGACAAACTCACTGTTGAAGAACGGACAGATCTCTGAAACCTCTCGTCTATAGCGAGCCTTCAAGTCTATCACCCTGGAAAATGTGTTTGAAATGACAAAAGTATAATGACAAAGGGTTTCTTCTAACCCCACACTCTGGGGCGTGGTAGCGGGGGGAAATATTCGCCAAGGAACACTCAGGTAAGATGACGTAACATAAGAACAGCCTTCTATCTGTAGAGTTTTGACTTCTTTGCTCGCTGTTTTGCTATTATTCTCGTGCATTGACTCTTTCACTAAGCTGAACAGCCAATCAGAGTTCCCTCTTTCACCGACGGCCCGACGCCGATTCAACATGTCGAATCGGCCGAAACAAAGCCGACGAGGACCAATTTCAGCCGACGGCACGGAACCGTGCGGAACACACCGAGGAAACTCAGTCGGCCGACGCACAAAAACTGCCCAACGGCCGACCGTCGGCTTGGTGTGTTCCAGGCTTAAAGTCCGTCTCCACCGTTGGAGAAGTCGACGTGCTCAAGTCAAAACTCCGTCTCCCCCCCCCGTTTGAGAAGTCGCTCAATCGAAACTTCGCCTCGCTGCCGAAAACTGAATTTTTAAAATATGTAACCCTAAAAAGGATTTATTTTTATAACTTTTTAATATTAATAAATAAATAAAAACTATCCTGAGTAATGATGTCAAGTCTCATTAACTGTCTTGGTAAGTATAATATATGAAAGAATGTACTATTACACATAATGTATAATATTTTTATACTTATAAAATTTGCAGTGGAATTACTCGTTAAAATTACTATTGATCTGAAGTCGGTTTTTAATATGTTCTGCACAATGCTGTTACTTTAGCTTGTTATGCCTCTTGTCACCGGATGCCTGACTGAGAAGATCTGCAGTGAAGTTTATGCATTTTGTTCATGTTTCAATCTAGGAACCCTAACATTTATCCCAAAGACTCTTCACCACTTTATCAGGGCTATCAAATGATCTGATTTGCAAAACCTATGACTCACAGACAAACATATTTGTTGCTTTCTTTGCATAAAATCAGTCATTTATTGATAGAGCAGTAAAAGAAGCAAAGCAAAACAGAATGGCAAGAGATTCATTTGAAACAATAGTTTTAATATACATGTACTACTGTAATATATAAGCTTGTATTTTTTGTACTTGCTGAGAAACTGGTTACTGTGTAAATTACTTTTTTCGTTAATAGCTCTAATATTTTGAAACTACAACAGTAACTTTAGCTCTGCGAGTAAAGCTCTCCCAGAAGGCTCTGCGCACGTAGCGGTCTGGAAGTCCAGCAGGAACAATGATCTGAGAAACGGTGGTGCTTTCACTTTTCCCACGGCCCTTATTTATCTGGATCTGCAGGTTGTATTGTGTTTTGTTGATGATGTTCTGCAGGTCGAGGCGGAGATTATCAGATTTGATAAGTGTGCCTGCCTTATCCCGCAGTTTTTCATTTTTCCATTGATTCATCAAGTTTTTCACCTCTTCTTTCCACGTGTTGCCGTCAGCAATAGAAGCTGGCTCTTCATAAAAGGTTATTTTTATGCGGTTACCCTTGTCATCCACAGTGTCTATCAGTCTTCGGTCTCTCTTGTTGCGATGGCGAGAGGTGATGATAGTGCCTTCTCCAGATTCAACGGTCTTGTCGTCCTTCACCAGCCCACAGTATCCCCAACTAAAGATGCTGATTCTGCACCAGCAGAAGTCTTCTCCATGCTTTCCACACACACTGTCAGCTCTGCACTGCCTACCCCAGTAGTCCATGTTTTCCTGAGGTGAACAGTACATAGCTTGGCTCCTTCCATCTTTATCAATCGTCTTGCACTTGTACTCGCCGCCGTCGGGCTTGCAGTCTTCTAGACACTGCGTTTCGAGATGGGTCAAGAAAGCTGTCCCAGCACTTGGCCATGGGGAACAGAAGAGGACGAGCAAAATGATACAGGTGTGTAGATGATCCATTCTTTCTGTGTGGAGGAGAATGAAGTGAAGAGTAAGAGGCAGCAGTAAACAGACATAAGAATTTCGTTTTTAATTTTTTTATTATTATTATTATTTTATTCCATTTTAAAAAGTTTTTTAGACTGTTCATTTGTGCGGAGAGTTGCACAAGCTGACATTTTGGGGGGTTTAAGATATCAAAACATAAAATAGGCTATGTATTATTTAAATGTACAAAAAATGTATTTAAATAAATACATTACATTTAATATATAGATTAAAGTGATGGATGTCATGAATTTTTCAAATTATGTTAAAGGGAAATAATGTGTTTGTGTGTGTATAATGTTTTGTTTTACAATGTAATATATTATGTATTAATTTATATAGCCTAGTAATAAGTGCACAGGGTGCACAGCATTGTAAAAAGAAGATTAATTAAATTTTGGCTTGCTTAGTTGGGGACATTAAATATTCAACAATATCATTGATCTGCCTTAAGGACGAAATTTTCTTCTACAAACAAACTTTGTTGTATTATTTTCATGTTATCATTGTGAAGCTACTTTGATGCAATCTGTCACAATCTATCTGTTGACTTGACTAAACATTAAATATTAGCAGATTTTTATCTTTTAAAACAACATTGCTGTAACTACATACACACTATACATTCACATCTTAGTGTATTATATACATATTGTAAATCAATGCCAATCAATCAATTTATTGACTAAAAACTACCAAAAATCACAGTTCTGCTCTCTAACTCCATCGATTTGAATTGGCGGAACTATCTGAACTTATATTGAACTTCCTGGAACTATCTGAGGTCTACACGAATCACGTGACAACCAAGCAGCTTGAACTTCCTTTGTCACAGCTCTCTCATATGGCTGTTTTACCCAGTAAAAAATACGCCAATGTAACAACACTTTATGATGATTCCAATGAGTACAGTTATCCAATCCCATCCTCTGTTGAGGCAAACACACTTGAGGTGTTTTTTGTTTTTGTTTTGTTTTTTTTGCACATGTAGCCTATAGCTATGTGGTAAATGAGTTTCCATCATTTCATGCGCATGTCTCATTGTATAAAAAATGAATAACTACACAGGAACAAACGCGTAACACAATATTAAGAATCTAGTAACTATTATTAACTAACAAGAAACTCTGATTAATGAATTAGTAAGTAATAGCGCACACATGAAAGTGGTAGTTCACTATTAACTAATCAATAACTACTATTTATTTTATGCTTCCCAGAATACTACTGAAACAGTTTCATAATTCATGCAAAACTAATCAATAACTATGGAGGACAAATGACTTATGACTCAAGTACAGTGTTGGTCAAGTTACTTGGAAATAGTAATTAGTTACTGATTACTGATTACTTCTCCAAGAAAGTAATCCAGTTACTTTACTGATTATTTATTTTCAAAAGTAATTAGTTACTTTACTTGTTACTTTACTAAGTTACTTTTCAAAAACATGATGCACGACCTGAATACCCTATAAAGCAATAGACCTTTCAGCCTAATTATATTCTGCATATTCCATCATCTAAAATTGAATCAAATGAAACATTCTCTTTTTTAAAACTTGTTGTATTAGTTTCAATATTTTAACTTTATGCACATTGCATCAAGCAAAAATTTAATTAAATTTCTTCAGACTTGAAGAAAATTGTTCAACATTTAAACCTATTTTCTGCACATTCCATCATATTTTAAATATTTAGCATATAAAATAAAAATATTTTTTGTAAAATTCTTCATTCGAATAGATGTAAATAAAATAAAGCAATAATAAAATAAAAATTACAGTCTCTCCTGACTGTATTCCAAATTATTAACATTTACGTCTTTTAACAGTAAAGTGCAGAGAGGAGTAAAAATGAGTTTACCAAAACAGAAAATGCTGTTGCATGCCATGATGCCACATTTAGGCTGTTAGTCCAGTCTCATTTTATGGCTACCCTAACAAGGCCCTATGTTTTTGTTTTCTTTCGGAGTGAAACAATTGTTATATCGCATCAGCATGTTGCTCAACAACTGCACATGTCAGTAGGCTTGTTTGAGATGAGCAAAATCTGCGCAGAACCGATCACCGGTGATCAGCGCGAGATGCATGCATGCCGGTTAAAAAAAGTGTCCGAGAGTCGTCCGCCTTGCTCTGATGTCATGGTGACGTATGTCAAAAAACTCTCGCGACCGCAAGGCGCACGTGTCGGATTCTGCAGTCGCGCGCAGTTGCTCTCCACCGACTGCGCTGATCCAGTGTTGCCAACTAATTTTCAGCGGAAGTTGCTAAAGGCAGGTCGATTTGTTGCTAAAAGTTGCTAAATGACGTTGTGACGTCATTGCGCTATGACGTCATTACGTAATCCCAACGCAAAACTACGCCATTATGTAATACGTAGATATTATTTGAAATATATATATATATATATTAGGGCTGTCAGTTAAACGCGTTATTAACGGCGTTAACGCAAACCCATTTTAACGCGATTAATTTTTTTATCGCGCGATTAACGGTCTTTTTGGCCTAGCAAAATTTTCACATGCTTTTGCAACAGGACGCGGCATGCGCGGCGCTGCGCTATGAAACCCATTCATTTCAATGGCTTGCGCCTCGCGAGGACGTTTTGTTGCTTCGTCGACCAAAGCGCAAGCGGATCAAGACCGGAAACAAAACAACAGGCACGCGCACACACACTTGTTTGGGCTCGCGAGCCGGCCAAATAGTAGGTTAACGTTACGTTTTGAGTGGATGACGAGCGCGAGACGCCGAAATGGATGCCAATAAGATTCTGAATGGAAAGTTTACTTTTAAAAAGTTGCCAAATTGTTCCATTGACAACACCAAAGTGATCTGTGTGTTTTGTCGTTGTGAACTGAGCGATCATCATCGCAGCACGTCCAGTCTGAAATACCACTTGATGATGGCCAAGCACACACACACACACACACAAGCACACACACACAGCTGATGCGAATTCTCCGCCCCCTCGTCAATATCAGTACCTCGTATTTGCTCCAAGTGAGAATGTTAGTGTGAAATTGAACACAGTATGTCAATGTTGTTTTCAATAAAAA